GCTCTGATGGGAACTGGACAGGGCTGTAGATGAGCCCTTTACCCCATGTCTTGGAAATGAAACATCCTGCAAGATTTTGCTTCACAGCACCCCAACAGCACCTGCTTCCAACAGGCACAAAACAAGTGTTGTAACTCTAAGCACTGGTGTAGTGCTGTAAATAGCCCTACTTGGGAACAGGGCAGCAGTAATACTAAAGTTAAATGCAGCTCTGGTGCCGTCTACCATAAACTAAAACAAACAAACAAAAACCCACAAAATCCAACGTTTTTGTGACTTAACCACATCTTTGCATATTATCAGTAATATTTGTAGAAATAAAGATCCAGTACCAAACAATTTACAATTTGTATCTATGGATTGAAGGCTCCTAGGTGAATAATTAGGAAACTGGCAAAAATTAAGGGAAATTAATCAATGGACTGTTTCAGAAATGACACAGAAATAGTAGGTAAGATCATTAAAATCATATTATGTCTATATTACAAATGTAGAGAGTAGAGAAATTACTGAAGATATTAAAAAGAAGCACATACTAGACATTTACAAAGGACCTAGATAAAATATTTAAATATAAGAATTACATTTTCTGAGATGAAAATTTTTACTGAGATTAATCACAGGTTAAGCAACTCAGAATAAATCATTAATGAAGTGGAAAATTGCACCTGAAATTATCTAAAATTGAAACAGTAAATGAACTGAATAGAAAGAAAAGAGGCCAACTCAGCTTTGAGTCACCATAAGTGGACAAATAAATACGTAACTGTTATCTCAGAAGAAACGAGCAAGGAGGGGGAAAAAGATTTTTTGAAGAATTAATGAGTAAAACAATCAACACTGAAGAAAAATATAAACATATATATTCAAGGAACTTAGGAAATCACAAATACTGAACATAAGAAAGTTTAACTGAAGGACATAATAATTGAATCTGTCCAAAAAAAAAAAAAATCTCTGAAGAAAAAGTAGTAAAACGTAATATTTATAAAGGATGAAGGCATACTTCTTGCCTGAAACAAAACAATGAAGATGAAAGTGGAGAGTGATTTTTAAACCAGTGACAGAAAAGAAGTGTCAACCTAGAATTCGTGAGCGGGAACAAATAACCCATCCAAGGCAAAGACCATGGGAACATGCTGTCAGGGATACAAAAGGACTCTTCAATGGCTGACACTTCCAGAGATATTTTGAAATGGTCTTTGTATAAGAAAAATAGTGTTAGTGGTAACGTGGACCAGTAGAAGGAATGAGAATATAGTTACTGGATATAGTAACTGCATAGGTGAAGTCTTATCTCCTCATGCAAATCTTTAAAAAGGTCATTAATACATTCATACCAATTGTAGTAAGCGGGGATGTTCTCTAGGGTGTCAATATGAACTCCTCTAACTATTCTGCTCTACCGTTGAGCAGTTAATGAATAAAGACCAGACTAAATTTAGTTTCTGGTTTTGCAGTGACCATCAGCTTCATGATGCAGAACCTGAGTGACAATAAAATGCTCTTCCCACTCTTCTCTCTGATGATTGATTTTAAAAGTAACAATATTCAAAGAAGTAAGTAATAGAGAAGGAGTGCAGGGCCCCGTGCTTTCAAAGCGAAGACTTCCCAGCCTGTATTGACATCTATTTCCCCTTTCCATTCATTTATTGAAAGGAGACCTTTGCAGTAACAAGGATATAATCTTATTAATTTATATCCTTTGTTAGCCAAAAATTTTGCTCTCAGATAATGCTAAAATATAAATAGGAGTTGTTCTTTAGGTTTTAAAGTATCTAAGCTCAAATTCTGTTCCAGAGCATTCAAACCAATACTAAGAGTACCTGTTCAATGCCTTAGAAGCCAGATGAAACAAAGTAATCTGCAGTGTTTGGAACAATGTTCCCCCAATAACAAGTTAGAAAAGAAAACCGCTATGTTTTGCATTCATAAATATATTGTTAAACTGTGGGGCAGATACAATGTATCTTCACATTGTGCATGCAGCTTCCCCAGGCTTCCCCAGAACAAATGAATGGAAGCTGGGATGGCTAATCTTGCACATCCTGAGGAAGAACCACGTCATCTAAAAGTGAAATGCATGGCCTCAAGAAACTGCAGGTGCTGATGCGAGTCAGTCTGCATGCTCTCAGCACATCTGACACTGACATGGGACATTTCTACAGTGAGTGGGATGTTGGAACTGATACACTCCTTTGCTTTCTGTAATTCAAACCTCATCCTTCCTTCTGTTTAGAACTCCCAACGAACATAGGACAATAAACAACCTCATAATAAGAATTTCATAAATCACGGAAGGAGGGTATTTCCATAGGGGACTGCAGCACAAGATGAATAAAACAGCTTGAAATAAATAGTATAGTGAACAGAAAATATCAAGAAAGCCCTGAGGAGGGTGGGACTCATTCCAGCTGGATATCAGCTCCAGGGCCTGGAGGAAGAGCTCTCACTCATCCCAGCAGGAGCCCAGTGTCCTGGGGATGATGGAATGGGATGGATTCCTGCTGGGGAGCAGTGGGTAAATGCAGACTCAGAGGACAAGACAAGTATTCTGAGAGTTGAATTCTTGAAACCTTCATGATGAGTTCCCAATGCTTATCTGTCAGTGACTCAAATAGGACATTGTGAGAGATCCTACACACAAATAAACCCCGGCCAAGGGGCTGGCTCAGCAGGCAGAGACTAGCAGGGCAAGCCTGGGCACTTGAATGATAGTGTGGAACCCATGAAAAAGTGGAAAGAGCAGCAACTCCACAAAGATGTTGTCTGACCTCCCCACGCACAACATGGTACCTGCACCCCCCCCCCCACATCCCATAGACGTTCATGTGCATACAAATAGCACTAATAAATAAAGACTTAAAAAGAATAAACTTCTCAATGATTGTCTTCTATTTTTAACTTAAAATAACCTTAGATTGTACTTTTTAAATGGATATGAGAATCTGAAGATGCCTCTAGAATTTTTCCTGGATGTCATTAGGACCACTGAGCAGCTAGAAGCAGACAGCGGGAAGATGGCCACCACCAATACATATCCCCATCCAGGACCTTCCCAGAGCAAGACTCCCTGATACCCTTCATCCTCAAAGACTCTGCTTTGAGAGAAAGCAGGTTGGACAGGCAAGTTTTACCTGGGATCAGGTCACATCAACATGTTGATTTTTGTCCTTTATTAAGGTGGAAACAAAAGCAATTTTTTTAAGTAAAAATTTTTTGCTACTCATTTTGTTTGGAGTCTTTCACTATCGGGAGAATTTAATGGCATCTCTATTGTAACAGCAGTTGTTCCCTTCCATGCCTGAGTGTTGACTTCTCAATGTTTGGTGACTATCTTATTTGGATTTTGGAGTTCTTCAGTCTCTGATATTGGAAAATCATAACATATTATTTCTTAAAAATTGTTTCTGTCCTGCCTACAGAATGGGAAAGGATCTTCACCAACTCTGTATCTGACAGAGGGCTGATCTCCAAAATATATAAGAAACTATGCATCAAAAAACCAAATAATCCAATTTAAAAATGGGGTAGAGATCTAAACAGAATCTCAACAGAAGAATCTCAAATGGCCAAAATACACTTAAAGAACTATTCAACATCCTTAGCCATCAGGGGAATGCAAATCAAAACAACTCTGAGATTCCATCTTACACCGGTCAGTATGGGTAAGTTCAAAAACACAAGTGATTGCTCATGCTGGAGAGGATATGGAGCAAGGGAAACACTCTTCCACTGCTGGTGGGAGTGCAAACTTCTACAACCACTTTGGAAATCAATATGGCAGTTTCTCAGAAAATTGGGAATTGATCTACCATAAGATCTGGCTACACCACTCTTGGGCATATATTCAAGGAATGCTCAATCATACCACAAAGACACTTGCTCAACTATGTTCATAGCAGTATTATTTGTAAATAACCAGAACCTGGAAACAACCTAGATGCCCTCAACTGAAGAATGGATAAAGAAAATGTGATACATTTACACAATGGAGTATTACTCAGTTGTTAAAAACAATGACATCACAAAATTTGAAGGCAAATGGATGGAACTAGATAAAAATCATCCTGAGTGAGGTAACCCAGACCCAGAAAGACAAACACGGTATGTACTTGCTCATAAGTAGATATAAGCTGTAAAACAGAGGATAACCATGCTAGACCCACAGCCCCAAAGAGGCTAGGTAACAAGAGGGCCCAAAGGGAGATGCATGGATTTCCCTGGGAAGGGGTAGACTCAAGGCAGATGGGGATGGGAACATGAAAGATCAGGTTGGGGGAGAGCACTGAAAGAGGTGACTAGAAAGGAGGGGCATTTCAGGATCAGCTAGAAAGCTGGTGTAAGGGAAACTCCCAGGAATCTACAAGGATGACCCCAGCTAAGACTCCCAGCAACAGTGGAAAGGTATCCTGAACTAGCCACCTCTTTTAATCAGATTAGTGACTATGCTAATTATCATCAGAGAGCCTTCATCCATTAACTGGTGGAAACAGATGCAGAGATCCACAGTCAAGCACTGGACCCAGCTCCAGGAATCCCATTAAAGATGGGGAGGAAGGATTGTAAGAACCAGAAGTGTTAAGGTTACTACAAGGGAGCCCACAGAAACAACTAACTTGGGCCCACAGGCACTCATAGACTCTGAATTGGCAGCTAGGGAGCCTGCATGAGATCGACCTAGGCCCTCTACATATGTGTGACAGTCATGTAGCTTGGTCTACTTGTGAGACTCATAACAGAGGAAGCAGGGGCTGTCCCTAACACTTTGGTTGGTTTTTGAGAACCTACTCCTCATACTGGGTTGTCTTGCCCAGCCTTAAGACAAGGGGAGGAGCTTAGTCCTACCTCAACTAGATATGCCATGCTTTGTTGAAACCCACAGGAGGCCTGCCCTGAACAGAAACAGAGGAGGAGTGAATTGTGGGGGGATGGGAGGAGAGGAGGGAGGGGAAACTGCTCAGGATGTAAAATAAATGAATACATTTAATTAAAAAGAAGTGTTTCTGCCCACTTGCCATTTTTTCCTTTTTTTGCCAATGTCTAAATGTCCTCTCTCATTTAATTCTAGCTATATTTTTTTCAGGCTTGTTTTTCCAGTTTACCAATCATTCATTGCTTTAATATGTCTAAAATTATGTGCTGAATTTGTACTTCAGTTGTTATATTTTTTCAGCTCTGGCATTTTCAATAGTCATTTTATTTATGTTTCTTTAATCTTGTATTTTCATATCTAACTTATTAACCATGTCATCACATAAAGCCTTCATCTAATAATTGTAATATTTAGATCTTTTAGGTGTCTATTTCTATATTCTGCTTTGTTCGCTTGACTTTTGATAATTTGATCATGTCTACTGGGAGGATGGGTGATTTTAGATGGATGTTTTATGTGATTTTAGATGGAAAAGAAACCTACAGCTAGGTCATGGAGAACTTTCAAACTGTAGTAAATAATTTTTCCAATTTTCATTACAGTAGAAAGACACTGAAGAGGTTTAAGTGGCTAACTCTCTTCATATTTGCCTTTTATAAAGATTGTTCTCACTTTCACAGGAGTGAATGGATTGGAATCAAGAATGGAGACACTGAACAATGGATAAGGCTTGCAGGAATTCAGCCAGAGGGGTGTGAGATGCAGAGTGGAATTCAGGCTGATGGAGACAGAAAAGAAGAGGTGCTTAAGAGATAGATCCAGTAGGGTGACCCTCAAGCTTTTGTCCTTAGGGACTCAATGGGGAGAAAATGGTGCCATTTCCTAATGGAGGTAGATTGGGGATTTCAAATTCAGGAGAAATGAGAGTTCACTTGGACTTGAGGAGTCTGAGATGTTTGTGAGTTTTCCTAGTGAATGTGGTTAGAATCTCCAACAGAAAAGTCTGGATGCATTTCTAACCCCTGGGAGTTGTCAACCTGTGGGTGAAAGGAGTGTAATTTATAGGAATTAATGAAAACACATGGGAAAAGGTGAAGGGCAAGGGCAAAGTGCTTGGGTAGAGGCCATTAGAAAACAGATAGTCCATAAATAATTAAGTCCTCGGATAGCACACTTTGGAGAGAATAACACTGGTCTTGTGAAAATCGTTCTTTTTGAGACTCAGTTTGTTGCTAAAACAGCAAGCTTTGCTGCTGACTCCCTCTCTGGCTTCTTGATGCCCCACCACATTGTCTCTTTTCCATACTCCCATGGCTCTGTCATCCCATTTACCAGGAGCTCCTCGACAGATCCAGACAGAAATTAGTGCTGCACTCTTGGATCCTGAGAACTGTGAGTTAATCATTTCTTTTCAAGGTTTCCAGCCTCTGACATTTGTTACAGTAACAGAAAATGACCAAAAATAGTTGGCTCTGAAGGAAAAGAATTTCATTAAGAGATAGACTGTAAAGCCGGGCGGTGGTGGCGGCGCACGCCTTTAATCCCAGCATTCGGGAAGCAGAGGCAGGTGGATGTCTGTGAGTTCAAGGCCAGCCTGGTCTCTAGGGAGAGAGTTCCAGGGCATCCAGGGGTACACAGAGAAACCCTATCTCAAAGAACAAGAGAGCACGAGAGAGCGAGAGCAAGAGAGCGAGAGAGCAGGACTGTAGATAAGACAGGGAGCTCTAGCTCTAGCAGCATTACCAAAATTTCAAGTTTCCAGTTGCTTTTCTGCCAATAGGAGAATGACCAGGTGGGAGGAAGAAAGATTTTTTTTTTCTGGTTTTTCTCAGACAGGGTTTCTCTGTGTAGTTTTGGTGCCTGTCCTGGATCTCTCTCTGTAGCCCAGGCTGACCTCGAACTCACAGGGATCCATCTGGCTCTACCTCCCGAGTGCTGGGATGAAAGGTGTGCACTGCCTGCTTTTTGTTTGTTTTTTGTTTTTTGTATTTTCAAACAAAAATTAAAACATGATTAAATTCTAATAGGAAGGAATAAGCAAAGTCAGAGACATTGAAGATGCAAGAGAAAGAAGTGGAATTAACAGAAAGTTCTCCGAGAAGACAAGAAGAAATGGATTACAGATCCCTTAGCAGACAATAGGCCAAGGAGGGAAAGGATGTTAGTGAGCAAGGTGAACAAGAAGGTGAGAGAGATGGGCTGAGGGTCTGTGAAGTCTGAATACCGGCTTTGGTTGCTCTGTGAACAGCAGGGGAGAACTCCAAATTTCCTCTCCTAAGTGATTGAGATGATGATCGTACTTTTAACTTATGTATCAGTAAACTGCCTTCTGGGTGAGTTTTTGTCTATTTTTCCTTTTGTTTCAAAGGTGCTGTAATCTTGGTTTAGAAAATGGATCAGGGATGGCTAACGGAAACTAAAATAAGAAGCCAAGTTTGAAATTATTGAATTCGCAAAACTTATGCTAAAATCCAGGTTGGAAATTCAAATATCCTGAAAATTCATGCAGTACAAGTAAATTCACCCATTGCACATAAATTCGTACAGTACTGAATAACTTTTAACCCACTGATTATCTTAAATATGATAAAACTATTTGCAGATAAACTCAGATAATAGTTGAGCTACGGACTTAGTGCTCTCTTGATACTGTAGTTTATGGCATTTGGGAGGAGAGTAAAACTTACTAGTTACAGGTGAGGCAGTTTTAACCTGTCAAGATATTAACCGTTTATTACACAGGCCAATCCCTACTATTACCACCAGGTGGCAGCAAAACAGCAAAATAATTATTAAGGGAGACATGCTTGTCCAGATACTGTGCAGTTAGAATATTTGAGTTTATACCTCTAGTCTCTTATATATTTTTATGAACGTATGATCTTCTATTTGAAATGATTATTCTGTCCCATAGTTATGTCTGACTTGAAAAAAAAATCAGGAAATGTGGGTGCTAATACACATTCAAGGCCATAGTTAAACTTAGTCTACAAATTTACGTCTTAATATGTCTCAGTTTGATAATATTATTTGTATTATCTATTTGTTTGTTTGAGAAGGAGTGTTGTAATATAGTCCAGGATGACACTGAACTGATGACTTCCTGCTTCATCATTCCAAATGCAGGGATAATAAGCATAGATTCCCATGCCTGGTCATTTGTTTTTTAATATAATAATCTCATTGGTAAAAGTAAATTTAGTCTGTGGGGCTGATGATGTAAGCACCAGCTTAGCATGTATGATCCTTTTATCCACAGAAATACACACACACACACACACACACACACACACACACACACACACACACACAATGTACAAGCACATGAAGACATTCACACACACATGAAACATAAATTCATTCAATAGCACCATTTATCGTCCGTCCATTGGAAGGAAAGTGTTCAGAAACATCATGCAAGAATTCTTGTGTGGTGAGTTCCAGTTCCAGTAACTCCCATTGGAGGTTGGGATGCTAGCTTTTAAAAGAAAAAAAAAATAACACCCAGTTAAATTTGAAGCTCAGATGTACAAGACATTTTTTGTGTAGTATAAGAGGTATGTTCTATACAATTTGGGGACATGTTTATGTTAAAACTGTTCAATTATTCATTTTAGCTTATCTGGCAATTTTGTTGGGATATAAGAACCAGGAAAAAAGCACCAGTTGTTGAGAAGACAAGAGAAACAGCATTGTGGAGTCTAAATTCGACTTAGAATTTCAAAGTCTTGAGAATCCCGGAACTAGTGAATGGATTGCTGAGTGTTCTTGACCTCTGCTCCATCCTGTGGGCAATTCATTCATATGTCAAGGTAAACACTGTGGGCATGGTTAATCAAGTACTCTGCTGAATTACCATCTGTGCCACACATGGACTGCTGATTTTTAAACAAGAGCGTGCAAGAACATATATTTAAAGTTAACTAGGAATTGGATGAAATTGAATAAATAGCTACAATTCAGGCATTTGGGGGTCTTATTCGGGGTTACCATTATGAAAAATCTATCATTAGAGCATCAAGGCTTGGAAATGCCATTTTAATTTCATTTAATTCAGCAAACATGTGTGGCATCTTCTCTTTGCAGAGGGTTGATGGGGACTGTGGCATGTGGGGGTTGATGGAACGCTGCTATTGCCCAACTCAGTGAACATTTACAGTGGATAAGACAGAGGCTAAAATGATACATCCAGCTGAGGATGTGGATGAGCGGTTGTATGCTTGCTTAGTATGCACGAGGTCATGGGCTCAAACTCAATGCTGTGGGATGGTCTGTATGTCAAGTGTGTTGCTGATTGGTCAATGAATAAATCACTGATTGGCCAGTGGCCAGGCAGGAAGTATAGGCGGGACAAGGAGGAGAATAAAGCTGGGAAGTGGAAGGCTGAGTCAGAGAGACACTGCCAGCTGCCACGATTGCAAACAGCATGTGAAGATGCCGGTAAGCCACGAGCCACGTGGCAAGGTATAGATTAATGGAAATGGATTAATTTAAGCTGTAAGAACAGTTAGCAAGAAGTCTGCCACGGCCATACAGTTTGTAAGCAATATAAGTCTCTGTGTTTACTTGGTCAGGTCTGAGCAACTGTGGGACTGGCGGGTGACAGAGATTTGTCCTGACTGTGGGCCAGGCAGGAAAACTCTAGCTACAACTCAACATCCAAACAAACACAAAGCAGTCTTCATGGCAAAACTCACTGTTAGCAGTTTCCCCCGGGTTTGAAAGAATTTTAAAGTTATTTATTTAAATTTCAAATTTACTGCTATGATAATTATTTGAACCTGAGGAGAATTTATGAATTTGAGAGTGATGGATAGGAAGAAGACAGATGACAAATAAACCGAGCCAGGGATTGTCTCAGGACTAAGAGAGATTAGCTCCTAAGGCACAGGGGATGGAAAAATCTCAAACCCCATGTTGAGTACTCCACTGGGTACTATTAAACGTGAGGTGCCAAATGGCCCAGCTAGGTGGATGATCTCGCCCTGCTTGGATTACAGGAAGAGAAGATGCCACCTCTCCAAATCAGTACCATTAGCCTTAGCAAGTTGATGGTGAGATCCCCTTAGTGCTCTGGCTCAGAATCGCAGCTCACAGGAGCACCAAACAACAGTGATATAGTCTAACAAGTCTTTAAGAGAGAGAGAGAGAAAAAAAAATCTGTAACTCCAGGTGCAGGGGAGCTGATGCCCTCTTCCGGCTTCTGCAGGCACTGCACCAACATGTAGACCTTATGGATGCACGCAGAATTCAAACACATACACTTTAAATTTTTATGCAAATTAACTTGAGACACATAATAAAATATAAGTGACATTATGTCTTATGTTAACCCCAAACCAGAAGAAATGTAAAGAAATGACTTCTGTTGGTGTTAGTTTTGTAAAGCCCAGGCAGATTTTTTCCTATTATTTTTCTTCTTTTTTGCAAAGTTTGTTTCATACATGAAAAGACTACACTCAGTGTCAATGTCAAACATTTTCCAAATCTGTTGTACCCAAGCATATAAACATTCAAGTCTGAACAATGTCAGCTTTGACCCCAATTATCAACACGGTGGCCGCTTCTCCTGTGTGCACCCTTCCGTGTCTTCCTCCTGCTCCGTGACTCTGTGTCTGTGGACTTTATGTTCTAAACCTTCTCCCTAGAGGTGGACCTGTGGGTTGGCATTAGAGACCCGAACAGTGGCACACCAAGATCTCTGAGTGCTCTGTCTGACCCTGGGCCACACAGAAGCTCTGCCATGAAGGGCAGAGGCCATGAGGGGTAATGACAAAGCGGGAGGGGTACTCCACAGGAATCTCTTTGGCTGCCCTGGGGGTAGACGTGGAGATATGTTCTGCTCAAATTACTGGGTGATGTAGAAAGGCAAGTTGATCAGGCTCAGCTCAAAGGACCCAGTGGTCAGCAGGAGCCATGGTCCTTTGAGGCCTTGCAAACAGGCCTTGAGGGAACTCTCCTAAGGAGCTGTGACAACAAAGAGATTGAAGACTCTAAAATTACCCCCTTTGGGGGCAAGCATGAGATGCCTCCAGATGTTTTAAATTCTTTCACTTCAAACAAAACATTTACTTTAAGAGATAAGGGGCTTGAAATGTAAATGCGTGAGTTGAACTCATTCACACTTAGGTGTAGTTAAGAAACCAAGGAACAGAAAAGCTGCAGCTCCCTGGGAGTAGCAGGGTGAGGAGCCTTCCTCCCAGTCCCAGTTAAAGGTATACAAAGGGCCTGGCCCTTTGGATACTCGCAAAGGAAGGACACACAGGGATGGGGGAAGGTAAATTTCGCCTCCTTGGCAAATTGGACTTGTGATTCATGCTGTGTATTTCCCTGTCTTCTGCACTAACTTGAAGATGCCTGGCACTAATTACTATGTAGCACCTAGCACGAGGCTTGCCTGGAACAAATAGTAAGCAATAAACCTTCCTTGCTCAGTCCGAATTTTAGTTATAACTGGGGGCCAGCAAGGGTACACAAATGCAAGTTGGCTTTTCTTGTTCATCTGAACAACATATTGTCAGAACCCTAGGCCTGGTGAGGTTCTGCGGCATCACAGCTGTCTTCTTAGGCCTAACTGTGCCCATACAACCAAGAAACACAGCCCTTATCATCTTAGCTAGTTGAAATGGAAATGACTTATGAAGACACATCTTCAAAATTGTCACCATACCGCAAGAAAGATGCTGGAACTTCTGGGCCCCTTCATCACTCAAAGTATACTGCAGGATTCTGTAATGCTTTAGGCCCAGTATTATCAATTTTGACATTCTGATTATTTTATAATGGACTGTCCTAATCTAAAATATAAGACAGGGTTACGGAACATAACGCTGCTCCAGTGCCTGGTGAACAGCTAGTGCTCGGTAATAATTTGCTGACTGAATGGAGGAATGTTTAAGAGAGGAGATTCTCAAAGCTTGAAGTAAAAGTCAGGACAAGAAAGAACCACATAGTATAAAGACTGAGATCCAAGATCATTCATTAGGCTGTAGAAATAATTTTCATTTAATTGGAGTTTTTAGAAATCTAAATTCAGCAACTAACCAAGTAAAGTTGAATTTGCTTTGCAATTTTAGAACTGACAGACCGCAGAGAAATTTCTGTTACCCCAAAGGAACAGAGCCAAACCTGTTCTAAGTTATGGAATCATGGGCATTTGATTTTTTTTTATAAAGTATCTCCTAGTCGTCTAGCAATGCGCCTTCTGAGCACGTGCAAGGCCCTGGGTTTGATTCCCAGTATCATAGACAGACAAAAACAAACAGATCTTAAAAGAGGTGAGGTGACATTTGACATTCTAATAATAATAATAATAATAATGATAATAATAATAATGCTTGGCTTTCTTTGAGAAACAAAGCTAAGAAATTTAATTCCCCAAATCACCCTTGGGATCTTCCTGAGTGGGTAAAGATGTCACACAGAATTTTGACCACACAGCCATACTCTAGCCACACCACACCATTTCAGAGAGTTGCCCAGCATCTCCTAGGACTGAGTCTGTCTAGCATCCCGAAGCCACCGGAAGACTTTAGACCTCTGTGATGGTTTTGCCACCCACGACTGAACTTGTACTTTCAGGGCAACTGAGTTTCATCCCTCCTCTCCCCCGCCAGGACTCAACACTGAATAAATAGAGGATTGCTTCTCTATCACATGGATGGCCAGACAAATTATTGACATTATTTTTTTATGATGGGTAATGACCCATTGCTGACAAAAATAAAGATAACATGTTTCATTTTATGTGAGTGGTGGCACTGACCACCTCTGTTCAACTGAGGCTCCCGTTTGGTGGTAGTTGATGAAAGAGGACTTGGTGAGTGGCTATCTTTTCGTCACTGTGTGGGTACCAGTGCCATAAAAGGACAAACAAACCAAAAGCCAGAACTCCTAAAGAGGAGGGTTCTTACTCCACAGCAACAGGCTTGATTTAGAAGCTCAGCGTGTAAAAAATTCATCAGATTTTTCCCACTGAGCTGTTGTCCTTCCCAATTGGAATTTCATGTCTCCTCTCGATTAATACTATTCAACGCTGCTGCCATTAAGTCATATATATTGCAGGAAACCCATAGGAGTAATAATTCATATGTCTCTTAGAGAAAAAGTGTTTTGAAACAGCACTACACAGAAGAATTAACCCCCAACAATACCTACTGGCCCTGTCACATAGTGGTTCTGCATGTAAGCATGCTTGTCTAGGAAGACATCTCTGTCACATGAACTTCATGGAAACAAAGTCTACGTTTTAAAATTCCATGTGGGCAATAGGGATAGATAAAGTTGTCCTCTATACTAATTATTAGCGTTTAAGAGCGTTTTATAAAATAGACCTTATACCCAAAAGCAATTTTGGATATCTTTGCCCATCTATTTAAAAATATAAAGAATATGCAGGGAAATGCAGTGGTGTCTGTCTGTTAGCCCATTAAGCTAGCAGGTCCTTATCCAGACAAATTCAGTAACAAACTATCCAGAAATGTGCTTCTATTTGAGAAACTAATTAAGGATAGTGCTCTCTCTATCTTTCTTTGAACTGTATAATAATATCTCTTTACATTAGAAGTGAGTTGTATAATTAAACTATTTCCCCCAAAAGGCAGAAAGTTGACAGCAAATTAACCCATGAAGAGAAAAGTGATTTTAAATGTGACCACTGGGAATTCAATAAACTCTTCCGTGAGATCTTGATTTTTAATTTACATAACAATTACATTGCTTCAATTTCTGTTCTTAGCACCCACTCCACACTCTGTCTGTCATTTAGTTAAGTGTAAAATGTATCAACAGAACAAACTGGCCAATTTTATGT